GTAATTACAAATGGAATTGTTTTCCAGTTATGTAAAGTTCATTGTTTTGATTAAATATAATCTGACATCCTTTGACCTGAATGACCTCAAACCTTCATGCACATGTGATCATACTTTTGGCTAGAAGGCAGTGAGACAAACAAGACTGATCTCTGAAACACAGAAATGCAGGTCATACTCACATATGCTACAATTTCTGATGTCAAAGGCTGAAGGAATTTTGTTTATCACAGATCTGTAATTTCTTTAGGCCAGAAACATTTAAAACATTTACGCCCAATTCTACTACTGTTAAAGCGTAGTTCAACCAAAAATTCAATTGCATACTATTTGTTAACATGCAAATGGCATTTATTTATTGCTCTTAAAGAGCTGGTATTCTTTTCTAGTATTTTTTCAGTGATTTTTTTTTTAACCTAAATTTGGACGGGGTGTAGATAAGCAAATTGCGAGCAACATTTTGTTTGGGGGGATTGGGGGCTTCTCATCTAATAAATGTAATTTCACTTTAAAAGAAGTGAATTATAACATGAGATTTGAAGCAATAGTTCTCCCCAGAGTAAACATTTGTTCATTATTTACTCACCCTCAAGCGGTTATAAACCTTTATGAGTTTCCTTCTTCTGTTGGACACAGAGAAAGATACTTTGAAGAAAGCTGAAAAGCTGTAATCATTAACATCTTTCGGAAAAACAAATACTATGGAAGTCAATGGTTAGGTTTTGAGCTTACTTCAAACTATATCTTAGTTTGTGTTCAAGAAAGACAAGTGAAGGGCCTGTAATTGATGACAACTTATTTTTTAGGGTAAAACCATCCCTTTAATGACAATAATAAAATAGAAAAAATATATTGTACAAACACTGAATATTTTTAAATGTTATGTTGTACTATTTCGCTCGTGAATATGTATTTCAGTTTATGTCTGCAACAGGCTCCCCCAGTCTAGTTGCTTTGAAATACTGTATCCGTTTTATTTTTTATTTTTATTATTCCATATCCTTGAGATTTTAGGGAATGTTTTTTTTCTTGTCACAGTCTAATTACACTTATTGAGAGGAGGTTTACAACTCCATGCTAAATGCTATCTACGCTTAATTCACTGGGCGTTGCGGGCACTGTTATACAATGGTTCAGATCTTACCTCACTGACAGGTCATTCAGGGTGTCTTGGGGAGAGGTGTCCAACCTACAGCATCTAAACACTGGGGTACCTCAAGGCTCTGTTCTTGGGCCACTTCTCTTCTCCATCTACACATCATCTCTAGGACCAGTCATCCAGAGACATGGATTCTCCTACCACTGCTATGCTGATGATACCCAGCTATACCTCTCTTTTCATCCTGATGAACCCTCGGTTCCAGCTCGCATCTCAGCCTGCCTGTTGGATATTTCACACTGGATGAAAGATCATCATCTTCAGCTGAACCTCGCAAAAATGGAAATGCTTGTAGTTTCTGCCAACTCGACTCTACACCATAACTTTTCAATCCAGATGGATGGGGCAACCATTACTGCATCCAAAATGGTGAAAAGCCTTGGAGTAACGATTGATGACCAACTAAACTTCTCTGACCACATTTCTAGAACTGCTCGATCGTGCAGATTTGCACTCTATAACATCAGAAAGATCCGACCCTTCTTATCTGAACATGCAGCTCAACTCCTTGTTCAAGCTCTTGTCCAGACTGGATTACTGCAACTCTCTACTAGCTGGGCTCCCAGCTAACTCTATCAAGCCTCTTCAACTGCTCCAGAATGCAGCAGTACGAGTGGTCTTCAATGAACCTAAACGAGCACATGTCACTCCGCTGCTAGTCCGTTTGCACTGGCTGCCAGTTGCTGCTCGCATCAGATTCAAAGCACTGATGTTTGCCTACAAAGTGACTTCTGGCCTTGCTCCTTCTTATCTGCTCTCACTTCTGCAGATCTGTGTGCCCTCCAGAAACTTGCGTTCTGTGAATGAACGTCGCCTCGTGGTTCCATCCCAAAGTGGGAAGAAATCACTTTCGCAAACGCTCACGCTCAATCTGCCCAGTTGGTGGAATGAACTCCCTAACTGCATCAGAACAGCAGAGTCACACTCTACTTTCAAGAAACGACTAAAAACTCAACTATTTAGTCTCCACTACCTTTCCTAATCTGCAATTGCCTCTCTGAATATCACACTAACTGTACCAAAAAAAAAAAAATAAAAAACTAATACCACTAATACTTCCCTTCTTAGACTTTACAGACCTGAAACTTGCCTATAGCACTCATTCATTGTTGCTCTTAGTTGTGTAAATTGCTTCCTTGTCCTCATTTGTAAGTCGCTTTGGATAAAAGCGTCTGCTAAATGACTAAATGTAAATGTAAATGTAAAGATGCTTTGACTTGTGCTGTTTGAACCAGAATTCAGAAACCGAATTGGATATTTTAGATAAAAATGGTACAATTGTTGTCATCATTCATTTGAATTATTTTATTCTTTGCATTATTGTTCATTATTACTGTAAAAGGGCACAGGACCAGACAAAGAATCTATACAGTACTATTCATTTTACTCATGTTAATCATTCACAGAGTTATGATGATGTGATGTTTGGCATGTTGTATACAGTGTATTTCATAGTTCATTTGCTTGCCATAGCCATATTGTTCTGATCAGTAAATCAGTATGGTTGCAAAGGGAATTGGACCCAGTTTTGTAGCAGCTCATGTGATGCCAGTTGCTTTAAGAAGAAGAAAAAATTCAGTATAACCGCCTGTCCTGTGGCAAAGGGAAGTTTTTTTTTTTTTTTTTTAATTTAGCATATATAGCTTCTACAAAGTTGGTGTTGTTAGTTAGATATATAGATATACATATTTAGATGTCACCTACGCTATTGGTGTCTATTGGAAAGAATGTGCCAATAGAGCCACCATTTTAGTACAGGGCAGGTCTCCTTAAAAATTAGTGTGAGACCAAGGTGCAATGGAAGACTGGCCATCCAGAGTCACAGATATATAAACATATACATATATCCATGATCGGGAGTTTTTCCTGTGGTCAGTATGCAAATATTTTTTAAAATTGCGAAAATTACAATTTTGCATCACTTTTCTATATCGATGTATAAGTGACCGCAAGCGTATTAATGACAGAGCATGTGTTTATGTGCATGGAAATGTACTATCCTCACTCCCTGTTAAATCTGATCTAATCCATGTCCTGAAACACACCCCCTTCCCTGCTTTCACTTCTAATTCTGATGGAGGGAGTGATTCGTTTGTGAATAAATCTCCTCTTAGCTGACAATAATACAAGTTTCAGGCAGCGCAGCATCTTGTTGTCATATTTCATTTACATTGTTTGCTGATTTTATTTAACCAAACTAGCATAAGACTAATAGTGCGAGTTGGTGTCACTTTCCTTATGATCAGTGCAGTAAGTGACTGTTTTATCAATACTTGTTTAGCTCAAAAGTTTGTAACATACAAAAAACAAAATCTTACCCATGAAATGTTCTGCTTTTGTGCTCTGTTTTCTTTGTCTGCTCATTACTACACCAGTATGCAGGACTAAAGTCCAGCATCTTCACGTTGGCTTTAGTCTAGACTAGTGCGGTTGAATGACTTTTGTCCTGGGATCACTGCTCAAATGTGGTAGCGCTATTGACAAATGCTCCGGATCCATATGCATTATCTAGTGTATATATCTATGTTGTCAGTTTACACCATAACAGTTTTCCAGCAAATGCTTTTCCTGGTATTCTAATATTAATTCCTAATAAATGCTAATTTTTTACTTTTTGCTTCTTGGGTATCCTGTTGTGTTTGCACATTTATTGTGGATTCGATTTTTTTTCACATATAGGCAAATATCTCTTTGTTATTAATGGTTATAACAAAAAAAAGTGTAACTTTGGTTTACATGTGTCAAACCGTGGTCATCGTCTGAATTCGTACTTTTGTAAGCAAATAATGCAGATTTTCTCAGTTGTGTGCATTTTAGCTGTGAAGTTTTCTGTGGATTTACACTACAGAGCCAGTCACATATAAATAGTAAGTTAAGGACTCATTTTTGAGAGGTGCAAAAAGACTAACCTTGCCCACACCAGCTCTACACATTACAGTCAATGGCCTGTTTCTCAAAAGAGGGTCACTTCCTCCAGATCAGTGCCTCACAATGATGGGCTCTATCAATGTCTGTCTGAGAGAGGTCGGTTTATTTGGCAACTGTCTTAGTAACTCCCTCCCTACAGCTATTTATAACTTACTTTAAGAAAGAGAGAGAGACTGAAGTGTTTTTGCCTGCCTTACCCAGTAATATATCAACAACAGATAAAATATTTAGAAAAAAGGTAAGATTTTGCAATAAAGTTCCATTAGTTAATGTATTTACTAACATGAACAAACTTTAAACAATACCTTTATTAAAGTATTGATAGAAAATTGTAGTTCTTGTTAGCTTGAAGTGCATTGATTAATGCTAACTAGCACAGCTTTGGATTTTAATGTGTTAGGAACTATTGAATTATGATTAATAAATATTTTACAAGTATTGTTAATCTTTAGTTCATTTAAAAAGAGCCACACTTTATTTTAAGGTAGAATGTGTGCTGTTAGCAAACTATTAACTATGACTTTTGCCTCAATTATTCCTTGATTTGCAACATCTTATATTTATTGAAGTAGTATTTTTCGGTATTTCGTTTTTACAGTAGGCAGGATTAGGGATGTAGAATTAGATCATGCAGAATATATTCTCTCTCTATAAGTAAACAGCCAACATCTCAATGAGAAATGTTACCTAAAGTGTTCATAAATAAGGAGTTGAGTCAGATAATCACACAAACAGTTCTCATATAAAGCTGCAATCACAGTCCATTTAATGTAGTTTCTAAGTTATGGTTGCATGATTTCAAACCCACAACCTCAATGTTAACAACCAACAGCATGATCCTAAATCATTCTCTTTGGTTTCAAATTTGTCCTCGTCTAATTCTCCCCTCCACCCTCTTCTTTGTTTCTTGCAGACGTGCCAAACTGCGATTGTACCTGGAGCAGTTGAAACAGCTTGTGCCTTTGGGTCCTGATAGCACCCGTCACACCACACTGAGCCTGCTCAAACGTGCCAAAATGCACATCAAGGTACAAACCAAATCAGCATTTCTTTGCACAATATCTGTTTGCACAGCAGTAAAGAGGCTTGAGCAGTTCCAGTCAGAAGGGAAGTTAATCAGAAACTGTCCACAGGAAATTTATGCCACTCTCCATGTTGCAAATCAGATACCTCACAGTTCCTGACATGGTGAAGATGGATGGTGATACTTTAGCTGTGCTTAAAAAAATTATGAACAAAAAAAGTGTCATCTAAGTGTGTGATGCATCTGACAATTCAGTTCAGAGAATCAGTGCATCCTGTGTGTGCAGTTTTTTATTTAAGGTTAATATTGATTTTTGAGTTGTATGAAGTACAAAATGTCAGAGTGTTGCAAATGTTCAGTTATCATTAAAGAAAAAACCCTACTAAATCATAGTTTAGTAGTGTGATCACAACCAACAGGGCGAAGCAGTGGCACAGTAGGTAGTGCTGTCGCCTCACAGCAAGAAGGTTGCTGGTTTGAGCCTCGGCTGGGTCAGTTGGCATTTCTGTGTGGAGTTTGCATGTTCTCCCTGCGTTTGGGTGGGTTTCCTCCGGGTGCTCCAGTTTCCCCCACAGTCCAAAGACATGTGGTACAGGTGAATTGGGTAGGCTAAATTGTCCCTAGTGTTTGACTGTGAATGAGTGTGTGTGTGTTTCCCAGAGATGGGTTTTGGCTGAAAGGGCATCCGCTGCGTATAAACGTGCTGGATATGTTTGGGTTTCATTCCGCTGTGGCAACACCAGATAAATAAAGGGACTAATATGAAAAGAAAATGAATGAATGAATGAATCACAACCAACATACATAATGAGTTTTATGATGAGACAGGTTAAAGGGTTAGTTCACCCAAAAATGAAAATATGTTCATTAATTAATTTTATTTTTCAGCTTAGTCCCTTTGTTAATATGGGGTTGCCACAGCAGAACGAACTGCCAACTTATCCAGCACATGTTTTTTTATGCAGCAGATGCCTTTCCAGTTCCAACTCATCACTTGAAAACACCCATACACTCTAATTCACACACATACACTACAGACAATTCACCTACACCGCATGTCTTTGGACTTTTCGGAGGAAAGCCACGCAAACACAGGGAGAACATGCAAACTCCACACAGAAATGCCAACTGATCCAGCCGTGGCTCAAACGAGCTACCTTCTTGATATCAGGCGACAGCGCTACCCATTGCACCACCGCATCGCCCATAAAAATATATGTTATTCTATAAGATATTAACCTCATGTTGTTTCAAACCTCTGAGATCTTCGTTCGTCTTTGGAACACAAACTAAGATATTTTTCTTTATAGACAGCAATAGTCCGATCTCGTTCAAGGTCCAGGAAAATAGGAAGAAAAAACATTACATAAATAGACCACATGCATTCAGTGGTTCAGTTGGAATATTGTCAAGCTACGAGAATACTTTTGTGTGCACATAAAATAAGAAAACAACTTTATACAACCTTTTTTTCTCTTTAGTGTCAGTATAGACCATTTTGAGGGATATAAACAATAACAATAGTCCAGACGTGTTTTCTGTTTTACATTTTACATTTCCATAGCTTCTTAGAGTCCAAAAAGTTCCATGTATTGATAAATAATGTTACAATAGCTGTTATAGCTTCAAGTTAGGATTGAATTGCCTCTTTTTACAGATATGAAATAGTTTGACAACAAGAAGGAAATTGTTTATGGGCCAATGAACTCACCACATTAAAATGGTCTATAGGACGCACATTAACAAGCAAGGGTCATGGATGCCACTTTAGCTATGAAGCCATTTTAATTCTGTCAAAAAGTTATTGTAGTCAGTTATTACTTAAAAACTAATTGTAAAAAATTTTCAAAATATAACTGCAGTGTACAAATTCTTGCCTTGCAAATTTATTTTTGTTAAATACAAACAAACACTCTGAATGCCTTTGTGTGACTTCCAATGTTTGAAATTGAGGTTTGGTGTACCTCAGCAGTGCAACATGAAAGCAGAATTCATAAAAAGCACAGCACTCTTCTGAACACTCATCTTATAGACCTTTTGCTTGGAATGAAAAATTACCCTTTATGCTTTGCGTGTATGCGCAGGGAGAATTGCTAAGAACTCCGGTCGGCAGCTTATGCATGTGACACGTGAACTAGGAGAATGTTTTTCTCATATTTTTGATGTGCTTGAACCACATCTGACAGATTAAATCGTCTTTAACGGACACATTTCTAAGTGTAGTGTCACAAAAACACTCTGTAATCTATTAAAAACACTATTGAAATCCATTTTTTTCTATTGTAAACGCTGTAAACGGAAGTTCTGACCATTCTACCGGTAGACGCTGGTCGCTATGGCGCTTTCCAAGCAGCAGCCAAGAAAAAGGTCTATACTAGCTTGACAATATTCTGAATAAACCACTAGTCATATGGTCAGTGTTGAGGATGTCATTTTGTGTTTTTCTGGTTTTATTCTAAAATCTCTTCATTTGTATTCTGAAGATGAACACAGGTCTCAGGGTTTTAGAACAACGTGAGGGTGAGTATTTAATAACACTAAACCCTTAAACCATGATATTTTGTTGTTGTTGTTTAATGTTATACAATCTCATTTAGTATAAGAAACTGTTATCACTTTTTTGCTTAATGTGTATAACACACTGCACAGTTGAGCTTTCAATTTGAAACTTTTCTTGAAAATGACATAAATGTTTCAAAAATACACAGACTACTCTTTTAATAGCTACATATTTTCCTTGTCCCTTTCTATATCACTAATGTCTAGTGAATGGAAGTGGTTCAACAACTGTCATTGTGTAGACAATGGCAACCCAGTGCCATGTGTCTGTTGACCCTTTTTCTTCTTTCCTGTTTGCTGCGCAGTATTTTTGCTCAATCTGCCTGATTTCCTGTCGTGCAATATAGATCTGTCTTTATATAAATATGTTTGTTTCATTTTTAGCTCCGAGAAATAGTGAATTTATGGCACCGTGCATGCTCTAGTCGACTGATAGATGGTACATGTCATACAGTGTGGCGTCTCTGTGCTCTGTGGTTTGATCAGTGGATACATGTGCTCTGCAGAAGCTAGAGGAACAGGACAGGAAGGCTCTAAACATGAAGGAGCAACTGCAGAGAGAACATCGCTACCTCAAACGGCGTCTGGAGCAGCTGTCTGTTCAGGGCTTAGAGCGCATTCGCACTGACAGCATGGGCTCCACCATCTCCACTGACTCTGAGCAAGGTACGGCACAGCTCAAACAAGCGCATATACTTTTACATCCAATAAAACATGTAAAAAAAACAAAAGTAAGTGGCTATAGAGAGCAGCATATAGGGCTTTATTTTGACGGTCCATGCGCAAAACGGAAATTGCAGGGCGCAAACGCTTTCAGGGCGTGTCAGAATCCATATTTGCTAATATAAGGACGGGAAAATCCGCTTTGCGCCGTGGCGCATGGTCTAAAAGGGTTGAGTTTATTTTCTTAATGAGTTATAGGTGTGTTTTGAGAATAAACCAATCAGAGTTTCATCTCCCATTCCCTTTAAGAGTCAGCTGTGTCATGCCATAAGCGCATTCGCTATTTACAGGACGTAAAGTGGAAGTGGAAAAACTGAGCATTTCACAAGCAAACAGTTAACCGTTTCTTTAACAGAAAACAGTTAAACAGAGCATCTACCGCGCAAGAATGAGAGAAAATCTACTGTCACTTTCGCTCTCGTGGATAAGGAAACCTTTACGCACAGACATCAGTTAGCCTGTAAATAATACATTTCGTTTGTTAAGCGCAAATATTTGTTTCAAAACTATTTCTAAATTCAGTTCTAATTTCCAGCAAACGAATAAATGAACAATAATAACGAAGCGTGTTCGAAAACAGTGGTTTTTCATATATATGTAGGCTAGAAAATAATATGTTTTGTAATATTTTAATCCTTTATATTTATATCCTATATATATTCTTATTAAATCCTATATATAGGCCTATCCTTAATATTTTACATTTTTATATGTAAAGATATTTGCGTATTGCTCTACATCTTGTGTGTAGGCTATTAAGCAGTGTGTAAGCGAGGCGCAACTCTACCCTGGAGTTTAGATCGGGTTTGTTTTGGTCTAATGAAAAATCTATTATAGTTTCTCAAAATAGCATATTTTGCTTCAGAACGCCTTCCTTTTTAGACCAGAACGCCTATGGGCGCACATATGAGCGCAAATGCATTTGCTATTAAAAGAGTGAGGCGCAACGCCTCAAAACGACTCTTGCGCCAAGCTGAAACTAGCAAACAAGTATTGTGCCGCACCTTGCGCCACATTGCGCCGGGTGTATGATAGGGCCCATACTGTTAATTATGCTACACATTTTTGTACAGGCTATGGGAGATGTTTATCTTCACCATTTATTCACATATGTTGATATTATGTTGATACTGTCAGTTTGTGCATGGAAAATGCTACATTTTTGTATGTCCTCTTGGTTTCAATTGTATCTATTGTATATATCGATAGATAGATGGATAGAAGGATAGATAGACAGATAGACAGATAGATAGATGTATAGATAGATAGATAGATAGATAGACAGACAGACAGACAGACAGACAGACAGACAGATAGACAGATAGATAGTTAGATAGATAGATAGATAGATAGATAGATAGATAGATAGATAGATAGATAGATAGATAGATAGATAGATAGATAGATAGATAGATAGATAGATAGATAGATAGATAGATAGATAGATAGATAGACATTTATTGTCAAACGAGTCTTAAATTTTTCTTGCAAAACAGTATCAACATAATCAATATTGCATACATTTCACATTCACAACACTTCAATCACATAAAGCATGATGTCGAAAAAAACAGTTTGTTTATTTTTTATAAAGTATTTAGAAAGCTGTTAAATAATTATAAAAGTACCAATGAAATATTAATAACTTATTTTATTGTTGTCATTATTATTACTTTTATACCCTATGAGTAGGCCCACACGGAATTAGATTTCTAAATTTTTTTGCCCGTCATAGATTCTGTTTATTTACTTGTGTGAATATATGTACATTTATATTTATTCAGGTTTCTATTTATTTTTAGTAATATTATTAAGTAATGAAGTTTGCCTTGCGTGCTTAAGGTTTTAAAAAACTTTTTTGGTGCGTCAATCTTGTCAATAATATTGTTCATGACCTTTTTAACAGTAATATTATTGACAAATATGAAAATTTTCATATGATTTATTTACAATACAGTTTGTAACAAAATATTTTGTGTTTCTGTTGTCTTTTAGTAGAGATATTACATTACAGACCAAATAAAGTGGATCTAATTGGATTTGAATTGTAAACATAATGTTAATGTTAAAAAGGTATTATATATATATATATATATATATATATATATATATATATATATATATATATATATATATATATATATATATATATATATATATATATGAAGTTTTTAGTTATGATTCTCCCCAAATCATTCTGCATAAATCTGCAGATTTTAAACAAAAGTCTGCACAGAAATAGCCAAAAATGTCTGCAGATGTCTGCAGAGTATTTTATTTGCATTTTATGCATAGTAAAAGAAAAGTGTAGTTTCTTTGTTGGCGAAATTATTTTGTCAATGAAGTACATCACCATAAATGTAATATAACATGCTTTAAAATTGTTGACATTTCAGTTACACCTAAAGGGTCTCTTTAGGGTCTCATTTCAGTTACACCTAAAGGGTCTCCTTCAGCTTTTGTTGAGTGGCCAAGTTCAGTCCTTGAGAGCCACACTAATCTCTTTCTCACATTAGTCCACTAATACCGGTCACTTGAAAGGTGTGTGCAATATCTGTGTCAGTGGTGTCCAAACTCGGTCCTGGAGGGCCAGTGTCCTAGAGAGTTTAGCTCCAACCCTAATCAAACACACCTGACCCGGCTAATCAAGCTCTTACTAGATAAACTGAAAACCACCTGGCTGATGTGTTGAAGCAAGTTGGAGCTAAACTCAGAAGGACACCAGCCCTCCAGGACTGAGTTTGGACACCCCTGGTCTATGTGTATACATGCATAAAAGCCTTAATTGATCAATTAAAGGTTTAGTTTACCCCCAAAATAAAAATGATATTATTAATAACTCGCCCTTATGTTGTTTCAAATCCATTCAAAGATATTTATGTGAAATCTGAGAACTCTCTGATCCTCCATAGACAACAAGAGTCCAGGCTCGGTTAAAGTACAGTAAAATACCAAAAAACATCCTCAAAACAGAGCATATGGCTTCAGAAATGTTTCGATCAGAGTGATATCAAGCTACAAGAATTCTTTTGTGTGAACATAAAACAAAAATAGTAACTCTGTTTAACAGTTTCTTATCCTCAGTGTCAGTGCACTTTAAAAGAGCCAGGATCGTTTCTGTCTATGGAGGATAAGGGAGCTCTCAGATTTCATGTAAAATATCTTAATTTTTTTATGGGAGTTCATTCATTACTCAGCTTATACAGTACACTACTTTGACTAGTATTCTTAAGTGTGCACCAGTTACAAATTCATCATTGCAGTGCATTGTGGGATTTAATGAGTACACCTGAAAACGTCAACTACAGTTTCAAACACCTTATCAAATGGTGTAGGTAAGGGTTGCACAATATTGGAAAAAACTTACATCGCAATATTTTGATTTACTGTGGCTTATATAGCAATTTTATACAGGATAACTCGAATAGCTGTATTTGCGAATATATCATTTTAGATCGAATGAGATGGTTTTTGTAGGGTTTAATAAGCATAATAATCTGTATGATAAAAAATTACAAGCGTAGATAAGTACAGTAGAGCCAATATGAAAAATTAAGGAGTCTTAACTGTATTTATTGTCAGAAATGAAATAATCAAATGTACAGTAAAGTTGTATAGTCTTCATTGTATTAATAATTCAATACAATTAATCATTGGTGATGCTGCAAATGTAATATGTCCTTGTGCCCAAATGCTTTAAACTCTCCTAAAATGTTTACACAGGTCTTAAAAATACACACAATGGATAAACTTATACTTTATTATGGTTAAACTGAAATTAATTATTGAATGTCCTGCGATGTGACTATTGCAGATTCACACATGATATCAATGCTAAAATTATATATTGTGCACTAGTGTAGGGGGTGATTTCAGGCACACATGTTGGTTCGCATGTTTGGTTAAGGCTGGAGTGAAAATCTACAGTATTGTGGCTCTACAGGATCCAATGTGGCTGCCTCTGGTATAATCAAAGGACAAAATAGGCTTTTCTGTAAATATATCTGCAACGGAACACCAGTAGATAAGCAAGGAAACAGATGACCACTAATTCACAAGCATAACCACAACATTGACATTGCCAACGTTTTATATGTCTCTGTTCATTAGAAAAAACAACCGTATGACTTTATCTTGGCATCTTTGGTTAATGAGCTTTTATTTCTTTGTGTGGACAGAAGTGGACGTTGACATAGAGGGGATGGAGTTCATGCCAGGTGAAGGTGATAGTGTGGACAGTATTAGCGATGGCGAGGACCACTACAGCCTGCAGAGCAGTTCCAGCGATGGAGGCCACCATTCGCATTCTCACAGATTACAAGCTCACATCTGCTAGGCTGCAACAGTGTATCACCTCCAACTTACCCATCAGCCACTCCCAGCTGGCAGGAAGCACCTGGTTGATTTCCACTCTTCTGAAAACCCTGTCCGCTTTATATCGGAACCCTTTCCCCCACAACACCCCCTGCTCCAACCCCACAAATGCACACAGGCAAGCAATATGTGGTTTAAATAAGTACGTGTGTGGTAACGCAGTTTTATCTTGTCTGTTCTGCTGTGTGAGTGTGAGATTCTATGGCTCTGTTTTAAAACCATAGTAACTGCTTTTACTGTCTAGTATCTAAACAGGTAGTCCTATCATCAAAGGCAGAATCTGTACTGACCTTATATGTGATTAAAAGACACTCTAAAGTTGCTTATATGCATCACACAAATAGCGCCCTTCATGAACCAGTGACTTCATGAAATGTGTCGTCACTTTATTGAAATTTTGGCAAAAGATTTCGATTTGTGTAGTGCATTTTAGCTGCATTTACACTAAAACAAAATCAGAAAGAACAGTTCATTGTGACACAAATTGTTATGCTTGAGTAAACAAAAAACTGCCTCCATTCTGAGCCACTTTCAAAATTGATTTTAGATAGAAATAAAAAAAAGTAAAGGCACAATTCATCCAAAATTTACTCACCCACAAGTGGTTTTAAACAAGAGAAGATATTTTGACGAATGTTAGAAACTGGAACCACTGACTCCATAGGACGAAAAACAAATGCTGTGTATGTCAATGTTTACCAGTTTCCAACATATTTTGTGTTGAACATAAAAAGAAACTCAAAAAGGTTTCTGACAAGTAAATGGTGAGTAAATCTTGACTGGTTTTTGGGTGAACTGTCCCTTTATGATTCACTAGTTGGTTCCTTATTTGTGAACGTAAAGAGAAAGTCCTTATTGGTTGAAAGTTGCGACAGCAGCAAAAACACAAAAATGACGCTATCCAAAATGCATTAGTGTTTTAGTCTTTATGTTAAACCTTGAGTAGTAAATGATGTAGCAATAAACATAGAAAGCAATGGCTTTCTTATGCAGTGAAATGATTCTGGACCAAACCTTCAAGACATGAAAAGCTTACTAATTCCGTTCGTCTTTTCACCTGATTTGTTTAGATTGTATGCACTCAAACTGACAAGTCAAAATTTGTAAGACTGTAAGTTTTAGGGGGTGGGCAAAACTCTTTGTTGAGTTGTTGGTACTATCAGAAAATGACAATAATGCTTATAGTTCCACGTCTTTCCCCTTAACTTAATTGCTTACGTATGTTTTGAAGCCTTTGTTCCTCAGCAGTATATATGCAGTGCAGTGTGCAATATTCAGAATATAAAAGAAAGGTCTTTGTGCTGGGAATTCCAAATCTTCACAGACAGCCCCAGTTATCAAAGCAGGTCAGACCAAAATAAATTAGGAAACAAATAAGTATGTAAAAGACAAATGTACGTTTGAGAAAAGAAAAAGGTATATTCATCACTGAAAGTGATTTAAACAAGCGTAGTTTATATTTTCTGTAGTAGCTTTTGTATTATATTTTCCTAAATAGTCCTTCATTAAAAGACAAATAGAGGAGTATATGAATATAAATATAAATATATAAATAAAATATATGAAAATGACAGAACATAAGGCCGGGGCTAATGTTTGGGAGAACTTTTTCCCATATCTCCAACTGTCATGCTGTGCCTTGCCTTGTTGTATCCCCATTTTCTTCCAATCTCCTTCTCACATCCACAACCAGCCAGCTTCCATCCTCACAATACACTCTTTCTTGTCCTTTTGGCCTTTTGCACATAGTGACGAAAAACAAGGCTTTGTCTCCTCAACCTCCATCTTACGGACCTCCAAAAATATGCTTTCAATTTTGCGAAGCAACATCATCCGCATCTGCGACACTGGTCGTCTTCACTCGTGGCAGCTCGTCTCTCCCCATTGAAAAGCTATCTAACCAACTCTGCTCTTGTGGCTCTTTTCATTGGGTTTTTTTTTTTTGTTGTTGAATTTTTTAAATAGCTGTCTGTTTTTATTGTCCTTATGTTTAAGATGTGTTATGTATTTCAAACAATGAAGTGGAAGACCTTGGGAGAAGAGCATTGGAATCAATCATTAATGGCAGCTCTAGACTTCTCCACCCTCTCTCAATGGTAATTCCTGACGTAGTATTAAAGTCTGCTCAAAGGTATGATCACTTTAGCGTTACTGCTGCGCAAATATCTTGAGCAAAAAATGTCAATAACGTAGAGCTGTGGGTCAAAGACAAAGATTTACAAAGAAATTTATTCATATAGAACCCACTGTAAGTGATAAAGTGTCTGATTTAGTGTTTACATTTTTTTTTGTGCAAAATGTCCGACAATATTTGGTAGACAAGACTGAATCACATATAGTTAATGTATTCTGTAAATCAAGGTAAAAATCTGTGACTGTTGACCTGCTTGAAAATTAACTAAGAAGTGAAACTCAAATTGTGTGGATTAGCATGGCTTGATTTTGCTCATGACATTTCGCCCAGTTACTGTAAATGTGACCAAACTTTAAGCAGATCATAGTATTCGATCCTCTACCCATAAGAGCAATGATACAGCAATATGATTCTTCAATTTGTAAAGCAGTGAGGACTTGAGTGTAATGGTAAACAGCACTGTCTCAATACTATGGTGCATATTGTGACCAACTCATAAGATTTTTATTTTTATTTTAGTTTTTACTATTTTATTTCTCCATTTTTTTCAACACTGAAAGGAGAAAAAAAGTTTTTTTATTTTTGTTTTTTTAAAAGCTACATTTTTATGAAGAGTTTACATTGTATGTCATGGTATGCCTGACTGTTGTAGCAGAATCTGCTTTTTCAATTTGTTGTTCAAGTGACTCATTCAATCAAAAAAAAAAAAAAGCTCTTGCACAGAACCTCCCATTACCATGCTTTGAGTGAGAGTTCAGAGAATTGGGGATGAGAATATGAACATATATGTTTGCATGTCTAAGAGATTATAACTTTTAATTGGCATTATAGACGAAGTCACATGTGAAATTAGAGCAATGTCAATTTCCAGTGTGGTGAAAGAAATACTTTATGACAGAGACAGGGTTATTCAGTGGCTGCAGGGTTTTTTAGAAGCTTTAAAAACACTACAGTGTGTATGTCAGCAGACAGCCACGTATATAATTACACGGAAAGTGCCAGGTGTCCGGGGATCTAAAATATCTGTTCCATCACTCAGACAAAAAAACAAAACAAAAAAAGTGGTGGTGCTGTGTTTTTTGGCCTGGCGAATTGAGCATATAATTGAGAATTCATAGGAGGAAAGCTAAATCTGAGAATCATTTGATCAAGAAACACAATAATAGCTCTAAAAAATCCCTTTTACCTTTTTTAATGTGTATAAAAGCAGTAGACGAAAGAAAGAACTTCCATGAAAAGATTCCTGCCATCTAGATTCTATTAGATATAGACTTTTATTTTTCTAACCCCTCCCTATTTTGGGAGGCATCAGATGTAATATCAGATTTCTATCTTTGTATGACTATAGATTTGTGACCCATATTTTCTGCTCAATTTTTCTTTCCTTGGTTGTTTTGTTTAGTGTTGATGGAGCAGTTTGTTGACAGGTCAGCATGTTTGGCGTACTGTATCTCACAGAGCGCTTGCTTTTTAGCATGAGAAAAACTTGTGTAAGACTGCAAAGGGAGAGTTCTGTGCCAGAGACCTGTGAACAGATTTCCTATAAAACAAGTGATATGCATTCAGATGTTGTATAATAGTGTAAAGGTGTTTTTTTTTCTTTGTGTGCGTGTGTGTGTGTGTGTGTGTGTGTCTGTGTGTGTGTACATACACATATTTACCTGGTGCTGGCTATGTTTGAGCCCACACTCTATGGTATTATGTATTCTTGTATTGTAATATAAATAATTAAAATGTTTTATACACGCTGGCTCCTCTTAGTTATTATTAGTTATTATCAATTTTGCAGAAATGTTTATGTTCTGGGAAGATTGAGCATACTATATTGACCATAGGGGGCAGCACGGTGGTGCAGTGGGTAGCACAATCGCCCAGCCGGGTCAGTTGGCATTTCTGTGTGGAGTTTGCATGTTCTCCCCGTGTACATGTTTGTTTCCTCTGGGTGCTCCGGTTTCCCCCAATATCTAAAGACATGCGCTAGAAGTGAACTGAATAAGCTAAATTGGCCATAGTGTATGTGAGTGTGTGCAAGAGTGTGTGGCTGTTTCCCAGTGTTGTGTTGCGGCTGGAAGGGCATCTGCTGCGTAAAACATGTGCTGAATAAGTTGGTGTTTATTCCGTTGTGGCGACCCCTGATTAATAAAGGGACTAAGCCGAAAAGAACATAAATGAATGAATGAATGAATATTAACCATATTAATACTGTCAGTTTTTCACAGTTAATTTAATCATTTACTTGATGGTCTATGAGGAATATCTGATGGATTTTTTTCATTGTAATACTTTTGTCTTTTCACTGTATTTTATAAATCTCTGTTAAACTGGTTACAAAATTTTACCAGCTATTTTTTATAAAGTCATGCTCTTACCACAAAAAAATGATGTGTAATGTGTACAACATTTAGATGGTACAATTTTACAATAGTCATGCTTTTTTTTCAATAGACAAATAACGCAATACGGTCATGGTTGGCTGGACAGCTATATTCACTCTAATTAGCATTTATGAAATTAAATATAAAAATGGATGATCTACAAATTTTGGAGAACTGGTTATGATGTTCTCTAAAACTTGTAATTTAGATTATTGTAGCCTGATTGCAGAGTTATAAACAAAAAAGTAATATCCCTAGCACCACCTATGGACTAGTCATTATCTGTGTGTTTGTACAATGTAGTGAGGGCTATTCAAGCCCTTTCTGCCAAATATGGTGGTTCTAGATTTTAGATGTCCACATACTTTAGGGCTGAAAAAAATTTATTAATTTATTTTCTGTTCGGCTTAGTCCCATTATTAATCAGGGGTTGCCACAGAGGAATGAACTGTTGCCCTTCCAGCCGCAACCCATAACTGGGAAACATCCATTCATTCCCACACATACACTATGGCCAATTTTAACTTACCCAATTCACCTGTACCACATGTCTTTGGACTTATTTTTCTGACAACTGCACATGCCTAAAATATTAAATATTTTAAAATATTAAAAAGGTATTTTTGAACTATGAATTATTTTAATAATGCATGTCAATATATGGTATGAAACATGCTGTCTGAGATTAATTTTAGTTTTAAAATTTAAGTGTTACTAATAAACAACACCAACTAAAAGATGATTTAAAACAGAAAGTTTTAAATTCTACTGAGGATTGTATAAATATAACTGCAATGATGTAAGTAACAAATAATTGCATTTTTGAAGTAACTTACCACACTGTATACTATATGATGCAGGTGGATTATTATTTATTCGTTTTTGTCTAGTTCTAATAAAGTTGAAACAATGCATAAATCTTGTTTAAGTATATGCCTGTCATCTAACCATGAAATATATTATATTCTGGAATATATATTCTTGTTTATTTCTATTTTTAAAACATTCTTTTTATGTTTGTTATACCAAAACTGTGCTTCTAAACAGTCTTTATTAATTTAAAACCATGAACTATTCTAACACTAGTTTCTCTTCGTGAAGACAGCTCTTTGGTAGAGCACGACCCCGTGTGGATGATGTCTTTTTTTCTCCTATAAATCCCTCATATGTTGGATTTATCATCGCAGAGGTTATGCGACTCCAGATCAGTAGGCGTCGCCTTCTAAAAGCTCGATGTTTATATCCAGTGTTCTTGACTTCGCTTTGCACTCTGGGAAGTTTGTCCTCTTCAGCTGTCATTGTAGATTCTGCTTGGTTGGAAAAAATAGACAAAAACAGTATGTCCGGATACACACCGGATCAAAAACTGCGCTTTGAGCAGTTAGTAAAGCTCCGCCGGCAGTGGCTGAAAGACCAGGAGCTCAGTCCTCGAGAGCCCGTCGTTGCACCTTCAACACCCGGCCGCATAGAGCGATTCTGGACCCGATTCCTGGAGCCCAAAACACTATGGAGACTTTACGTGAGTGTCTATATACGTAATATCCAAGTTAAACAAATGTCTGGTTAGTGATGCGTCATCAGAATTTGTTGAGCTGAAAAGCATTTTAACGGCTGAATATAACATGCAATTTGTCTTTTCTCGTGAACCAGACATATAAAGCCTATTTCGCCGGTGTTACAACCCTCAAGGTGGTTCTGCTCCCAGCCTGGGTCCTGCATTACTATCTGAAATACCACGTCTCTGTAAGTTCTTAAATAGTTTATTTGTTCTTTATGTCACTTTGTTATTCGAAATACTGTTGCACTCCTTGCTTTTCCTGAACACTGCTGCTTTCATTACTGCAGTGGTTCCCAAATCCAGTTAAAAACTTGGCAGAATACTCATGGAAACTTTGGTGTAATACAGTTTTGTATATTATTGAGGTGAAGTTGGTTTTATATTCGCACATTCTTCCAGTGACATGCTTTCTATATTGTTTACCTTGGTACTTTGAATATTGGGTTTTAAATCACATGCAAGTATGACTTCAAAACAACATTAACACTATTTATGTGACCGTGAACAATGCTGTAATTTGATAGTCAATCGCTGCTAATACGGTTTTACTATTTAGAATCTGCAAAGAATATTTTTCTGAAATAATATTATCAAGGAGATAGTCAGAATGTGTGAATATAAAACCAACTTTACCCCAATTGGTATATTTACCTTCAGTCTACAGCACTCATTTAGGTTTGATTTTTGGCCCATCATAAGAAAAAGTTTGGGCACCCCTGATCTAAAATAAGAGAGACATAAAAAAAATGGGGGCCCCGAGGACTAGAATTGAAAACCACTACATTGCTGTAACAATGTAAAGGTTGTAACTGAAAGGATACTTTTTTGGGTTATCAACTGTAATGTCTGAAAGGAAAATGTATGTGTGTATAATGTGTAATATTTTTATTTATTTATATCATTATATTATCATTTTATAATCATTTGTTGTACATCAGAAACACAACACTTCGTTCTTGTTCAATGAAATGTTTATATTTAATATTATTTCAGTGTTTCTTTAAAGTATGTTGATCAATTCAGAGATAATTGTGTTTAGTAGAACCAAAACTATGAAAAGCCTAGTCTTTAATAACCATGTTCACCATCTTGTTTCAGAGAATGACGTATTCATTCATATTTCTGTTATACTCGATAAGTGTCACATAAAATTATTTTGTTATTTGTATATTGTTTGTTTATTATTACTGTGTATATATTGGTTGATGCTAAATGTTACACTCAATGTCTTAAATGCACTTATCTAATAGGCTGATGTTTCTTTGATCCACAGGAAACACCATTTGCAATAAGCGCTCAAAAACCCAAACTGTTTCCTGTAAGTATATTTGGTCCAAGCCAGATGTGTAAAACATACACAGAACTACAATCTGCTAACCTGCGCTTGCGTTTGTTTGATCCAGGAATGCAAAACCTAGCACAACCACTGGGTGTGAAAATTACATACTCCACCTTTAAAATTTAATATTTTTCTATTAAAAGGGATCTATATGCAAAAATCACTTTTATAATGTGTTTAAGGAGAAAACCCTCCTTATTAGTCATAATCTGTCCCTCATTACCATAAACAGCCCAGAGTGAGAAGCAGCTGTCTGCCATTGGAAATTTCACTTGATGAAGATAATATCAGCTACTAAGAGATTATAAATGTGGAGTTTTAGATGCACAAATGAACACTGTAGTCTCCATAGACTGCCTGTATCTGGGACACTTCTTTTCACTTTTTCACAGGGATAATGTTAGTCCTGTTTTGAATCTGCCGTTATGCTGACACAAATGTTTATAGCTTTGCTCTTTTTTTTTTTTTTTTTTTTTTTTTTTTTTTAGAGAGCACAATCTCATAATAACATGCAATAATTTGAATTTAAATCAACAGTTACCAAAACAGCACAATTTGGATCAAGGCCTAAAAGGGGCCCTTTCAAAGAGATATAAAAATCTACCTTATTTTATTTTGAGCTGAAACCACATATCCCCACTGGGGACATCAGAGATTTAATATACATCTTATAAAAATTAGCATAATAGGTCCCCTTTATAGACTGCAAGTAAATAAATTGTTATTGGCATCTGAAGGAATTGAATAAATAAATATATATATTTTTCAGATCCTTGTAAAACAGCAAATTTAAATATGCATGGATAACAAAAATAACTCCATTATGAATAATTATGTGACTAAAACACTTACACAAACTGGTGGATTAAAAGCATGAATTATTTTGGTAATTGCTAATACTGTTTATAGATTAGAGAAGCTGTTTTGGTCTAATTCATTTGTTGGCAGTCTTATAAATAAAGCACTTTATATAGGACATTTTGCTCAGGACATCCAAAGATTATACATCAAAAACTACACAAGTTCAACTTGAAAGTAACCCAGATGATCCTTGTCATATGAATTGATGACTTTTACTAAATTTGTTACAATTGCTAATGTTGCTTAAAGAAAGTAAATGTTAAGCTATGGTTATTAATAAATGCTCTACAAGATTTTTCATACTTAGTTCATGTTACTAAATGCATTAACTAATGGACGAATATTTTAAAGTGTTGCCTACATGCCTTCTCCAAACGTTATTAGCACACTAATATTCAGATTGCGTTTTGTGAATTGACATTAAATAATAATTCATTTTGATGTTTCTATAGTCCCTCATAAATAGGGCTGTGCGAATCGGGGGAGAATATATAATTGTGATTTTATTTATTATTTTTTTATTTTATTTTTATTTTTTTTTAGATATTACGATTTTGGTTTGATTTGTGATTTAATTTTGTAGTTAAGCTTCAGCTTAATATTCTGTATCGTAATTTCTTACTGCTAAAATTCAGTGAGTGTCAGTTCAACAAGGAACTGAAAAGATATTAACTTACACCAACTTCTATTCAAAAATGTTTTGAAATATTCAGAACTAAACACTAATTTTCTCTAGAGCAAACAGTAGTGAGTTATCGCGTTAGTTATCTCCTGGTTCCTTTATGGTGTTTTTTCATATGGTGGAACAGCTGCAAACAACACTGAAATTGTACTTTGCCGTCACTTGCTATTAGATTGAGTGTCACTGGCAGTACTTTTAGTTGACTTTTTATCAAGATACTCCGCATATAGCTGTCTGTGGTGCTGATTGTTGTATTTCCTCATGCTGTGGCACTTTTGCGACAGCTCTTACAAATGACCTGTCTTTGTTCAGTGTCTGTGTCTTTGAAACTAAAATGTTCCCCTTTTAGCGAGTCGCGACATGCTGTTTTACTTTTATATTAATTTCGTCCATTAATGCTTCTGAAGCGGCAGACGCCATCATCCCACTTGTCTGTGCTTTCCTGTTTGTTTGCTTGCTTGCTTGTTTGTTTGTTTGTTTGTTTTATTATGGGCTTTCTGCATAGTTCGGTCACACAATTCTGAACAAACGTGTCCTCACTCAATTGGCTAGTAAGACTGTCACACACAGACTGCAGTCACACATTTGCTCTGGGTGGGGGATGTCATGTCGCAGCCCTTCTCATTAGTGTTTCTTTGTGCTTTTTTAGGGAGACGTCATTTTGGAAACAGGAGAGGTTGTCCCAGATTTTCCCGAAGACAGTCATGGTCATCATTAATGATACCTGATTAAATTCAGTTTCAATATGCCTGTGTGCATGTTTTTGTGTATACTATGTCAATAAAGTTTATTATACTTTATCATGTCGCCTGTGCCATTTCACAGAGATTACTTCTTAAATGTATTTAGTTACTCTGTCATGAAAAGTCACATTTTCAACAGTTTATACTAAAAATATCTCAAGCTCAAAAATAAATCAACAGTTGTTTTGTTATTTTCAAAATGTCACATCCATTTTCCTTAAGATTTTTACAAGTTGTAGTTATAATTACGATTGGTACAGGGACATAAATGCATGTTACTTGTTGAATTTACATGATTATGACATGGTGTGTGCACTATTGCACCCCTCTCACACAGCTCTCACATCAGTAAACACAGAAGAGGAATGTGCAAATTAAGTAGCAAAAGGAAGTTCTTGCTTTGTTTTGATGGAAGATTACAAAGGCAAAGTAATAACAGTTTTTATCAATAGCTTTGGCTCATTTCTTGATTGAAATTTAAATTTTTCAAAACAATAATTTAGACCTCTGAACAATTAGCTTCTTGTTCACCTCAGAGTGGCATTTCTTATTGATTTAAGCAAATTGCAAATGCTTTGGCACGTGTGTGCAAACACTAAGTACAATTGTTTGTAGTTTGGACAAAAACTACAAACTGCATATGGCCTGTTGATCAAAACTGATGAGTCGATTCTCATTTAAACTGTCAAATTCTTCACAACTTCTCAATCCTTTTTCATTGAGTAAGCCATCACAGTCAAAACAGTTTATTGAATTATTAAACATTTGCAAACACGCGTTTATGTTTACACCATAGATAAAAACCTGATATTGACAGTGTTTGTTATGTCTGCTAAATTGGTAAAGTACCTCTACAATACAATTTGCTTTATCTATTTCAGACTCAACTTTTTTTTATCCCAATTAGGGAAACTAAAGTTGCAGCAAGGTGTCATAACACATGCGAAGTTTCATGTACACATTGCCAAAATATAACCGCAAAACATACAATTCATAATTTTTTTGATGCATCTCCCTCCCCGCTGGACTCATTTAATGACCTAATGCCCACCATTATTGAAGACGAAAGATTTCCTGCAAATAGGAAATCTAAAACAACGTCCTGATGGCAGCAGCATCTGGGGTGCATAAGATACCCTGAGCTCTCTTTAAAACATAATTATGGTAAATTACAATTGGTAAATTTACAATCAGTTTTGGCAGCATATATGTAGATTGCCCACAGCCAAAGCACTACCTTTTTAAGAATGTAGAACTTCTGCAACATCTTGAGCAATTGGCAGACATGTAATCCTGGCAAGGTGAACAAAAGCGGCAGGATGTCCACCTAGAATCATTTTTAATAGATACTTTGTAGTATTGTTTATTTGTGGTAACAAGAAATATGAAATATACAATACAGTAATTGGTCAAGCAAGATTTCATTCTTCATGTAATTCATTCATACAAAAAAATTGTAGCATATAGGCTAAATACAAATGTTCATATTTTTCTATGTACCATTTACTCTTAACAACTATCAGAATTTTTTTCAAATCTTAATTTCCATGGTTGACTGTCATGGTGAAAAAAACCTGATATTTTGAGCAGTGTGGCTCACACCATGACAAATACACTTTATATTTTGGTGGTCTTGGACCAGTTCAAAGAATGTTAAGACTGTTTTAAAAAATGTGCTAAAAAACTAAGTGTTTATTTTGGCTTCATTGTGAAGTTACAATTTACCTGTATATAAGAGTATATTCTTGAATTTACTCTACACGTTGCAGATTGTTTTTCAACTATTCTTAAACGTTTCTGAGAGCGTTCTTGTTTAAATGTATTTTAATCAAAAAGCATTCGTATAGATTTTTGGTCACTTTGAAAACCTTTGTTTTAGCGCACGGGTAATGTGCTTTTATTATGAAGCAAAAAACCGGAAGAATTGAAAATTTGATGCAGTTTACTTCCGCAATGTTCTGTTTTGTTACGTCATTATCAACACTGCTGATATAGACCGACTGAGAGAAGTTCATCGTTTTTGGTCGTCAATAAGTCTTTTTTATATTTTTTAAACAAGTTGTCAAACGAGTAACAATAAAATCCATCATAGACGATGCATTTCAGGATACCCGATTGTCGCGTAATGATCTTTAAACCAGCACGATTGTGTTAGACAGTAAGTTACATTATTTCAGGTCATCGTGATTTTAAGAATTCTGTAATACACTTTTAAAACAGTACAACTCCTAATGCTTTCTTGTTCGTTCCAAATATAAAGCGAGATGCTTCTGGCGGATTTAAGAGGATCTAAGAACTTCAAAAGTTTCAACGAATACACGAACGAGTAAGTTTAAAAACATTTTCAATGAGATGTGTAAAAAGTCATTTTCATAGCGATTTGTTATAGAAATGTATTGTTTCTATTAAAACACGAGCTAAAATTACACTGCAGAGACTTTTCAGTAAACACAAACACTAAATATACAGGCATTATGTTGTATATAGACTTTGTAATATGAATAAACATATTCTGATAAAAACTAATGTTATTGCTCTTTATGTAATCATATTTATACACGCACTATATATATATATATATATATATATATATATATATATATATATATATATATATATATATTGTGGGTCACTATGGTTTAAAATGTTTATAAGCGTTTTGACTTTAGTGAAAATGTTTATCAGAAATAGTAACAATTAGTATACCAGTACTATTAATAATGCAATTATTAATATTCTTAATAATTGATTATTAATTATTAATAACCGCCAATTTATCCAGCATATGTTTTACGCAGCAGATGCCTTTCCAGCTGCTCAGTCACACACATACATACACTACAGACAATTTAGCTTACCCAATTCACCTATAGTGCATGTGGCTGGACTGTGGGGGAAACAAGAGCTCCTGGAGGAAACCCACGCGAACACAGGGAGAACATGCAAACTCCACACATAAATGCCAACTGACCCAGCCGAGATTTCCAGCAACCTTCTTGCTGCGAGGTGACAGCGTTACTCGCTGCACCACCACGCCACCCGCTAATGACAAATATAACAATTATAATTTACTGTACTACCCTGCTGTGGCTTAGCTGGTCAAAGCTGCCAAGCTGGTGGATGTTTCCTAGAGATGGGTTGCGGCTGGAAGGGCATCCGCTGCGTAAAAACCTGCCGGACAAGTTGGCGGTTCATTCCGCTGTGGCGACCCTGGATTAATAAAGGGACTAAGCCGACAAGAAAATGAATGAATGACCCCATTAAATAAACCCCCAAACCTCCATTAAGTTTTATTTTCCAGAACTTCATTTCTCATTTCAGTGTATACTTAATAAAAATTATTGAAATGAATAAATTATTCCTTTAATTTATAATGTTATGTTTACTTTTTCAACAGCCACTTTTACATTGCATCCGAAGAACACTTCAAGTAGTTTAACAGTAATTCAAATGTTTCTTCTATCAGGTCATGGCATCACCACAGATAAAGGAGCGGCCATCAGGTGTTGTGTTAAACACAATCTCAAAAGGAGCATCTCCAGAATCAAAATGCCCAATCTGCCTGGATCACTTTAAAAACATATCATATCTTGATGTGTGCCTTCACAAGTTCTGCTTCTGCTGCATCCATGAATGGTCCAAGAACAAAGCTGAATGCCCTTTATGCAAACAGCCATTTAATTCATTCTATCACACTATTAAGTCTGAAGATGACTACAAGAGGTTTGACCTGCGACCAACTGAAAATGGCTCATTTGGAAACATGGCAGGGCAAAGATTCAGGTATCGCACCACGCTTACAGGTGACCGCAGACCAGTACAGAGGCGAACGTCTCCTCCTCCCGACCATGGGATCATATTTGAGGGTCTGAGAGGATCTCTTCCACAACGGCACAACAGAGATCTACATAGCATGATCAGGAGGCTGACAGTAAGGCAGAGAAGAGAGAGTGAGGGTAGGTCTTTGCGAAGTCTTCAAGATCAAGAAGTGGTTAAGTTCAGACGAGCCTTGTACAGAAGAGGTGTGCAGGTCCAAAGCGTGCAGGATGGTGGGCGTACGAGAGAGACCTCAGCAGAGTTCTTCAAAAGAAATCCTGCTTGCCTCCACAGGCTTGTACCTTGGCTGAGACGAGAACTGACTGTTCTGTACGGTGCTCATGGTTCTCTGGTCAACATTGTGCAGCACATCATTATGACTCTGATCACTCGACATAACTTGGACGACCAGGCTGTTCAACATGAGCTTCGGCCCTTCTTACTGTCCCACACAGAGCACTTCTTACATGAGTTTCTCAGCTTTGCTCGATCGCCGTTCAATATGGAGGCATATGACCAACGTGCTGTTTATGACTTGCCAAGACCTTCAGGAGAAAGTAGCAGTTCGGAAAACTCTGTGATCGCCATCTCTGAGGATGAGAGCGAATCTTTAGTGTCAGGAGCCCAGGATTTTGCCACTCCTAGGGTGACCTCAAGCCAAACAGCATGGGATGATGAGACTCCAGGACCATCCTACTCTTCAGAGCGTTCTCAGGTGTTACCCGTCCACGTGAGGGACTCAGACTCTGATAGTAGTGTAGGGGAAGCAGTAATGCCTATTGCTGCAGTACGACATCAGGACCATCCAGCAAATCCTTCTACTATTCAACCAGAAGAGGATCATTCCTCTAGCAATGATGAGGACTGTGTTATTATTGGCTATGTTAAGCCCGTGGCAGAGAGGACACCAGAACTGGTCCAGCTTTCTTCTGATTCTGAAAATTCCGAGACTGAGCAGAATGCAAGTCCACGAAACTCTCAAGCTCCCCAACACATTCGTTTTATTTCAGATTCAGATGCATCACCCACTGCCTCACAGAGACCCTTGAGGGGGCCAGCAAGTTCTTCACGCTCATTTGAAGACACCTCCATACAACTTAGAAAAAACAGTAAATATGACAATACTTTTTCAGGATCTAGAGAAGGATCCTCACAAAGCAAAAGGATACACTCTTCGTCTCATAGAAAGAAGCAACCATTGTGTAAAGAGAGCAAGAATAAGCAGAGAGGGGAAAAGGAAACAAGTCGTCACTCTTCATCCTATTGGCATTCTTATAGCTATTACAGTCATGACAACAGCAGAAAAGCTTATACAGAAACAAGCTCATCTTATACAAGCTACTACAGAAGTGTAAATGATCAGTTTGGTTCTCGATCACACGGCAAAAGAAGATGTAGGGACCTTCTGGACAGAAGTCGCTCAAGGAGTAATTCAAGAATAAGCCAGTCGAATCGGCGTAATAGGAGTCGCTCAAGGAGTAATTCAAGAATAAGCCGGTCCAATCAACGGAATAGAAGTCACTCAAGGAGTAATTCTGGAAAAAGCCAATCCAATCGGCGTAATAGAAGTTGTTCAAGGAGTTATTCAAGAACAAGCCCATTTAATGAACGGAATAGAAGACACTCAAGGAGTAATTCTAGAAAAAGCCAATCCAATCGGCATAATAGAAGTTGTTCAAGGAGTTATTCAAGAACAAGCCCATTTAATGAACGGAATAGAAGACACTCAAGGAGTAATTCTAGAAAAAGCCAATCCAATCGGCATAATAGAAGTTGTTCAAGGAGTTATTCAAGAACAAGCCCATTTAATCAACGGAATAGAAGACACTCAAGGAGTAATTCTAGAATAAGCCAGTCCAGTCGGCAGAACAGAAGTCTCTCAAGGAGTAATTCTAGAAAAGGCTATTCAAATCGGCGGAACAGAAATCATTCTAGGAGTAGTTCTAGAGTAAGCCAGTCCAGTCAGCGGAACAGAAGTCACTCAAGGAGTAATTTTAGAATCAAGTCTAGCTCCTACAAAAGTCAAGATGAAAAATATCAAAGAAGCCTTTCTAGATCCCTTTACTCCAATAATGATGTCAGAAGTCGCTCAAGAAGCAGTTCCAGAATAAACACCTCTAGCCGCCAGGACCGAAGACGCTCAAGGAGCAGTTCTAGAATGAATTCCAGCTCCTCACGCCAGACATCATGCCACGATAAATATGGTAAAAAAAGGATGTACAAAACAAAGCATCATGAGAAACCCTCAAGGCAGAGTTCTAGTAAATCGGTTGGCGATTCTGATGAAGTAGGTGGAAAAAAGAAAAAAAAGAAGCATACTAAAAGGAGGAAAACTAGAAGTCCAAGCATAGATGACAGATCTGAGGGCCACAGTCAGAGACATCACAAGAGGAAGAAGAAACACAAGAAGAAGAGCAAGAGACATAACAGTAAGGAGAGGACGAGAAAGCTCAGCCCTGTTCTCATTACAATTACTACTGACAGTGATGGTGAAAGTGCTGACCCCAGTGAACCCTCAACCAGCAGTGTTTGTGCCATTAGATCTACTGTCTTAATAGCAAACATGGCTACAGAAGCTTTCCTAGACAATGAGCATCAGTCAACAGCTGGAACTGAAAATAGTTCTGTGGGTGATGCAGGAAATTACCCCTAGTCTGCTAAACTCCATTGCCATCATGATTTTGTACACAACGTTTTTGTGAACTTTTCAACTTGTTAATTCAGATACTTTTCTTTTTTGTGTGATGGCCAAATGCATTTTATTTTTAATAAACAGAGAAGGGTTGGACTTTAAATGTGATGATTATGATTTGATTTCTTTTTTTGAATACAAAATTTTTAGAGAATGTATGTACATGTACATTACAGATTTTAAAATTTCAAACCTGCAAGCAGGTTCAAAGTCACCAATTTTTAAACTGTTCGTTTTTTATTTGATTGTTTCAAATAAATTGAAAAGGCTAATCTAAATGTATTGACTTGCTCATTGCTTTCTGTAATGATCTATTTTTGTTATCACTAATTTGGTCAATTGTTTTTTCTCATTTATAAAATGTAAACATTATATTTACATTTATTATTATTATATTTTAATACTGAATCAATATACAGATTGGGAATATATTGGGAAAAAATTAAGACACCACTTCAAGATTTAACGGATTAAGTAGTTATGGGTTTAAGTAAAATATTAAGATTTTTTTTGATGATCTGTTAACAATTATTCCACATAAAAAGCAGCTTTTGATTTTAATAAAGCATTAGTAAATGTAAACTAACCTTAACTTGATTAATAAATTATTTAAACGTGTTCATTGGTTGATGCTAGTAAATACATTAACTAGTGGCAGTTTATTGTAAAGTGTTTATTTAGAAAGTGATTATTTTTCAGAATATATTTGTTTTTCATTTGTTGTGATTGGCTTCACTAAATATTGATTTCTTGGCTCTACTGAAGTCAAAACATTAGTAGCCTATGGTGTTGTCTAAAGATAAATACAAAATTTGATTGTAAAAGTTAACATCTTTGGGTAAATAAGATAAAGATAAAACACTCAAATTTATATCTGTAATTTGCAAATACAGAAAAAAAAAGAATATTCAAGTGGTCTCCTAATTTTCTTCCCTATAGCTGTATATTGACAAGATTGACAGAATATTTTCTTTTTAATATTTTAATAATGTACATCATGTAAAATGTCGAAGAAAAAGTTCATCCAATGTGATTTGTTGCAAAAAGTATAAAAGAAATTTAAGACTGTGACATTTAACTGTAGGCTACAGTATCTACAATAATATGAAAAAATGCAGAGATCTAACACATAATTTTTCAAATACATGTATTTTCTCGATGGTGAAAACATCATTTTTTTTTGTATTTATTATTATTGTGTTCCCAATTCCCATGCACAGAATGTCCCTGATCCTAGTTTACATCTAACTTGATACCGTCTGTAGTTTTGATTGTTTGTAAGTTACTCCACATTAGGGGGCGCTAATGCACTTTCTTCGTTTGCGCAGCGACACCCAAGAAAGAAGTAGAAAGCTCTCTTGGTATTTTTCTGCACTTTGAAGAAAATGACATCAAACAGTCACGTAAAGGTAATTTGAACAGTGTCATCATGAAATACAACACAAGATATATGTGAGAAAATAGTTTAAAAATGGGATACTTCCGCGTTTTAACGTGAACTTACCAAATGTTGGATCACTTGGGTCCTGGAATGAACATTATGCTGTAAATCAGTCTACTGTATTCGTCAAAATATAAAGCTTTTCTAATATTTTAATGCCAGTTTTCAGTTTCGCATTTTATTTAGCATGAAGAGAATAACCAGGTACCACCACACGGATCACTGCCAAACAATTTCCTGGTTGATGGAGAAGCAATGATGCTAGCTAATAATGCTAGAGAGTACCTCGTGTCTACATGGGAAGGGTTAACGTTATATTAAATTGTAATATTATAGGTAGGTAAAAGACACACGAAATAACAACAAAAAGAAACTAACGTTAGTCATGAAGTATTTAAGGCTTAAATGGGCACAAGTATTTGTTGGTGCTGCACATGTAAAATAAAATTACGTTTCACGTGAGTGAGAGGAGAATGATTTTTATAGAAGTGTAAAACTTAAAAGTTTTATCAACAACTTTGACCAAAAAATGTATTTTTTTTTTAACTCGTGGCTGCTGATTAAAATTGGTTAATAGTTGTCATCAGCTAGTTAAGGCAGGTTATTGCTTGTTTCAGTTAGTTCTTTATGGTCATTAGTGGGTTTAAGCTGGTTCTTGCTGGTCATTAGCTGATTCTTTTCTGGTTTTAACCAGCTCATAATTAGCAAAAGCTATCTTAAACCAGCAGCCATGTGTCAAAACCTGCCTAACCAGTATGCTGATTTTTTCCACATGGAAAATAGCACCATCTATAAAATCCACAAAATAATGCCACAAATACAATATTCAACAGTTGACTTCCTTACGTCAACTGTTGGTAATGTCCATGATGTCTGCTTTTTAAGCTAGAATGTAAGCAGTTTCCATATTCTGGCTCCAACCCTTGACTTGAGAAAATTTAAGACCACTGTTTAGTTATTTCCAGTGGTGAAAAGAGTACTGAAAAAAATACTTATGTAAAATTACCATTACTTGCCTAAAAATGTAGTGCAAATAGAGTAAAAGTATCTGTTTTTATATTTTTTAAAGTATGAGTAAAAAGTAGACCTTTCAAAAGTACTCAAGAGTAGTGAGTATTACGGTGCAAAAAGCTGATGCATTTACATCTAATTTGTGAATGTGTTTAAACGTAACATTCTGTTGTGCATTTAGTTATTGCCCAGCAGGCACACAACTTCATAAGTTGCTAATATTATTTTAAATTTGATTGTGATGACAGGACACCAAAATTCAACATCTTTCCAGTGTCTAAGGACAACGTTATTTTGTTGTCCAATAATGACATCAGATGACGTCGATATTTGGTTGATTTTAGATTGTGTTAAAAAAGTGACCAAAATCCAACGCTGAGCCAATATCTTAAACCAATGTAATATTGACATCAAATACTAACATTTATTTGTCAGGTATGGCAACCAAAATCCAACGTCTGATAGAGATCATAGGGGTATTGTCTACAAAATGTCAAGCTGTAACATCATTAGACGTTGATGTTTGGTTGAATTTAGATTGGTCATTGGACATTGAAGTCAGCCTGACATTGGGTTCTGATGTCAACACATTTTTCATTTTCAAACAAAATGCAACATCCCCACGACTTTGGGCTGCAACGTCAATCTTATGTCATGTTGACATCTTGTGTCTGCTGTGTGTTTAAGGCCATTTCGGTCATCATACAGTAAACATCCATCATCTTGTCATCAGTATAGGGAAGTAGTGGAGTAAAAGTACCAATACAGCACTAAAATGTACTCAAGGGAAAGTAAAAGTACACATTTTTGTGTTTACTTATTTTTTGATAACTTATAATTCCTTAGAAAAATGACTCGATTACAGTAATTTGAGAATTTGTAATTTATTTCTTTACACTGCTGGTTATTTCACACTTCAAGTATAATATTTTACTAAATGTTAAATTTTGGTCTCTGAACTGCAGACACCAATACTTAAGCGATTTGTAAAAGATGAATCACTATCCAAACTTCTGAGATGAACAAGTTTGTAATTTGGGAGCTTGTGACAGTTACAGGTATATTAAAAACAGTTAATCTTCCAGTTCTCACTGATTCACTGACTTAAATTCAAAATTAGAATGATGGCAGTTATCAAGTGGTTATTTATTATTTTCTAATTTAGGGTGCAATTTCTGCCCGATTAAACAATCTTTTTAGATGTTCCCACACATAGTTTCATTTAAGAGTAGCCTTTATTTATAGTGTAGTCTGTTTTTTGTGAAGCCAATGTTAACTTTCTTTCATTCATTCATTCATTTTTTTGTCAGCTTAGTCCCTTTATTAATCCGGGGTCGCCACAGCGGAATGAACCGACAACTTATCCAGCAAGTTTTTACGCAGCGGATGCCCTTCCAGCTGCAACCCATCTCCGGGAAACATCCACACACACATTCACACACACACTTATACACACATACAGCTTAGTCCCTTTATTAATCCGGGGTCGCCACAGCGGAATGAACCGCCAACTTATCCAGCAAGTTTTTACGCAGCGGATGCCCTTCCAGCTGCAACCCATCTCCGGGAAACATCCACACACACATTCACACACACACTTATACACACATACACTATGGACAATTTAGCCTACCCAATTCACTTGTACCGCATGTCTTCCGGAGCAACCCACGTGAAGACAGGGAGAACATGCAAACTTCGCACAGAAACGCAACTGAGCCGAGGTTCGAACCAGCGACCTTCTTGCTGTGAGGCGACAGCACTACCTACTGCGCCACTGCCTCACCAAAATAAGTTCAACATCAAACGCTAATTAGTTATAATAATTTTATTTCAACGTTTAGGACCTTTAATATAATTATGATATTTACTAGCACTTGAACAAAATCAAATATTAAAAAATGAGTTTCTTTAATCAAATTAAATATATTCAGAAATAACATTTTAACTCAAACCTAAACACTGCAATGTACTGCAAAAGCTATACTATTTTATTCATGTAAAAATAGAAAGGCCACATCCTGATATGAAGCAGTATACATTAATTCACCCTACTCTGAGCAAAGACTTAAAGAATAGAAGCTGAAAAAAATTAATCGAAAATAAGGGAAAATCCCACTTATTCTAGGGAAAAATCACCCTTTCTGCCCTCACCTAAAATTATGTGATTCTCAAATGCTTAATTGTGATGAGTCAGATTAGTGGTTAGATATTACCTACTTACAGTAATCTATAGCCTGTACTTAAATCAAAGCACTGATTTGGGTAATTAAATGATTGTAAAAATTTCCCCAATATAATGGCAAATGATTACTGTGATTTGTGATTGCAAAGAGATTGTTTTGTACTACTTTTTAAGAAAATGTTTTAGATGAAACTTTAAAATAATGCAAAGGTGAAAAATATGTTTTTTCTGAATGTCAATGCTGATGCTGATATGTGGTAATGCAGGGCAGACAATGGCCAATTTTTTGTTAGTGTAATAAAAAAAATTATTATATTTTAATTAAATGTGAAATATTTCTGAAATGGATTTAAAAATGTTCAATCATTCTTTAGTCATACTCATAATTGTGACAAATGTTGCAGCAGTTGGACAACATAATGTACTTCTAAGGCTTTTTTTAGTCGAGGATGTAGTTGTTTAGATTGCAACTATGCAGCGCCATCCAAAAGATGGCAACAGAGACCGCATAATAAGCCCATAGATGAGGAAAAACCCAGCGTAATTTTAAAGGGCCATAAAACCCCACATATTCGATTTAAATCTACCTCAGAATTTAAAAAAAAAATGCATTTTAATGGGTGTGGAGCTCTGCGATAAGA